TCAGTACTGAGCTCAGTATTGCTCGGTACTCAGTACTTCACATTACCGAGTTAAGTACTACTCAATACTGTGAATACCGAACGTAAGTTGTGTCATGTGTCCCAACCCAATAATCTCTCCTATTTTTTACCCTCCACAGTGTACCATAGGGCACCTCCTACGAGCTGCGTTCATGTAGCCCTAGGATTTAAAGAGCACTAAAAATCAAGAGATTTCCAACCAACTAACAATTCTATTAATAGTTCCATAAGCTATAAATTAAGAAAATATATGGAACAAACAACTTATCAACCATCATATTAATTGTTACATTTTGGATTTTAATTTTGATCTCTTATTTACATTGCTATCTTATGACTAATATTTTTGAAAACTAATTATAAGTTAGAGCATAAAAATTTATACTCTATCTTATAATTAGTTTTTCTTCTCATGCAATGGCGCAATAATACATAAACTTTGTTTTGCTTAGTAATAAAAAAATAGTAATTGCTAAAAGAATGATTTGTAATTAATTATCATGTTGTTAGTGCAAAATGAATTGCAAAAATTATTATTATTACATATTCAATTATTTTTAAAGTATTTTTGAGTTGAAAGAAATTAATTTTATTATCAAATTGAACAAACGTTGCATTATGACAAAAATAAATTTTAAGTTTTGAATATAATAATCATTACCTACTTTTATTAATATTCCTTTGACATATCCTAAATATAAGTATTATAATATATGTCAATTTTTTAGAGAAAAGAGATCGAATTGATCTCCATTTTTTTTTTCAAAAAGATCAAATAAAGTAGCAATTTAGTTCTTTAATTTTTTTAAATAGAGATCAAAATAATATTTTGTGAGATTAATTATTTAGATCACTATTTTAAAATTAAAAATTAAAATAAAACTTTAAAATAATTAAAAATAATTTTGATCGTTTTTGAAGTGTCATGAAATATGGCTGTCAATATAGGCTTTTGGGTCGGGTTCGATCTAATTTGAAACTGGCCCGCTTTTAGTTAACTTGACTTGATCCCAACCCGATTAATCAAATGAGTCAGAAATACAAACTCGGACTCGAACTGACCCTAACACGGGTTGACCAAACTTGACTTGCTAATCCGCAATTCAGTAAAGTGCTAGTGGGAGTGAGCGCAAGCGTTGTTAACGAAGGGGGCGAGAGCGAGTCCAGCATGCAAGTGAGGGAGAGCGTGCAGGCAAGCCTATGGGCACCTATGGGCAAGGCAGCAAGCGAGTGCCAAAGCACCTGTAGGCAAGGGTTCTGGTACTAGCGCAGGCCTAGGTGTTGCGGCAAAGTTGGTGCTAGTGTGAGTGCGGGGCCAGGTGATGCAGCGGCGCGAGTGCGACCATGCGCATGGGAACGTGATTGCGGGAGGGATCATAGCGAATGCGAGTGCGAGATCACTGCTAGCAAGGAGGTGACCCGAGTTAGTTTCATATTGATTTCAAGTTTCAGTTTGATCCGAACCCATCCCGAAATTAAAAACAGGTTAGAAACTAAAACCCATACTCGACACATTTGCAAAATAGGTTTACTTGAATCCGAAATTTTTAAATCAGAGCCTGATTGAGTTTTAGATAGGATCAAATATTGACACCCTATAATAAAATTTTATTATCTCATATTTTTTAATAATTTATACAAGCTAAAACTGCGGGCAATTATTACATGAATAAAGTTAATAGACTCCTTTCTTTAGATTAAAAAAAATAAAAATAAAAACAGCCTGTTACCGACAAACCTCAACGTTTTAGTAAAAGAAACAAAAATATTGGTTCAAAGTTAAAATCCATTGGAAGAGATCGGGTCTGCGGCCAGAGGATCGGCGCTCGAATCCCATAAACGTCCCAAAAAAAAAAAAAAACCACGTGAACGTTAATTACATGATTTTTTTTTTGGCGGTACTGATTAGGACTAATAGTAATAACTAAATTTTAGTGGTTGAAAGCAATTTGCTTGTTTAAGAATGATTCAATTGAAATTAATTTGATTCAACAGATCAATATAAAAATATTACTATTGATATATATAGATCACAAGCTACAATCTTACATAAATATTTATGATTATACAATTCTTTTTTTATTTGTTAGTTAGGAGCTCTATTTTGGGCTTTATATTTTGGATGATAATTATATTAAATATATATTAAAGTTGGTCATATTATAATAAATGGGGCTTACCCTTCAATATTAGTGATGACCTCCTCAAAGGAGAATGTCCTAGGGTGTTAACTTATTATATTATAATAAAAGATGTTAGCTTATAATTTTACATTTATGATAGAGATTTAGCATACCACTATGGTATGACAATTATTTAAATATAACAACAACATCAAGTACGTGGGTTGGCAACATGAATCCTTTTTGCTCTATTGTGTTCTATTAAGATCAAATTCATATTTAAATCTAATAAAAATGGTATTTCTAATATTTTCTAGCAAAGTTTTTTAGGTCTACATCTACATTTCTTATCATAAGTCAAATCTAATACGTCAACTCTCCTAACCGTCATCAGAAGGCTGATGCTTTATGTGTCCAAAACATCTAAGGCAACTCTCTCAAATATTATCTGCCAATGGAGCTACTCCAACATTTTCACATATATACTCATTTCGCATTTATCTCTGAATGTTAAGCCACTCATTTACTTAAACATCCTCATCTTTGTAACACTTAACTTAAATGTATGCTTCTCTTTTCATGGCCAACATTCTACGTCATAAAGTATTACATGCCTCACCACCATCTCATAGAATTGTTCCTTAAGTTTAAGAAGTACTTTTCTATCACACAGCATGCCTAATGCATTCCTCCACTTCAACCATCCAAGTTATATTCTACTAATAACATTTCAATCTATTTCACCATCATTTTGGACAATATATCAAATATATCTAAAATGGGTAGTCTTATTAATGACTTGATCGCCTAAAGTCACAATCCCCCCACTGAATCTATTAGTACTAAAATTACAGTCCATGTATTCAGTTTTAGATCTACTCAAACAAAACCATTTACACTCTAAGGTTGACCTCCATAATTCAAGTTTTTCTTCACCTCCCACTCTAGTCTTATCAATAAGAAGAATAACATTAGCAAAAAGCAAACACTAGGGTACATCCTCTTGCAAATGTCTAGAAAGAACATCTAAGACTAAAGAAAAAAGATATGGGTTTAAAATTAATCATTGATGTAATCCAACATAAATAGGAAAGTACTTGGTTGACCCATCCTATGTATGGACACAAATAACATCTTATGCATACATATTTTTAATGACTTGAATATATAACCATTATTAACTCCTTTCTTTCTAGAACTCTCTAAAGCTCTTATCTAGGAACTTGATCATATGCTTTCTCTAAATTAATAAATATTATATGTAGATCCTTCTTATTCTCTCTATACTTCTCCATGAAACCTCTCAATAAACGTATAGCTTTCATAGAAAACTTATCCCGCATGAATCAAATTCATTTTGAGAAACATCAGTATGATGACATAACCTATGCTCAATAACTCTTTCCCATAGTTTTAATGTATGAAACTTTAATTTAATTCCCATAATTTTAATGTATGCTCAATAACTCTCCTAGTGGCTAGACTAATTAGGTCAAGGTTTATAGAAGAGCTTTTGAAGAACCAATAACTCCACAAAAATGGACAGGTTTGATTTGAATGGAGAGACAAGATGCATAAAATTGGAATCTAAATCAGAAGACCTTACATCGTCAAAAGAGAAATCAGCATTTTTTTTTTTTTTGGTCAATTGCAAAAATTGTGTTAGTCAGAAATATTTACAAACCCAATAACATATATGTTTATGAATACTACAAATATGTATAAATTAATGTAAATAAATTTGATGTCATACTGTATGGTTTAACTCATTTGTGCTATACTTCTTATACTTTAAAGTACCTATAAATAGTTTGGCAACTACTAATGTTCAAAGCATGTTTATATAGTTGGTTATAAAGAAAACAACTTAATAATTTTGATTGCAAAAAATAAAATTTTACCATATAAATTATTGTAAAGCAACGAGAAAGCAATAATAAAATAGTAACGAAATGAAATTATGATTATTGTTTGAAAAAAACAACAAAAAAAAAATTGTCGCAAACAAATACTTAATTTGTCATATGAGATAGGTACAAAGGTAAAATTTGTTGTAATAATAAATGCAAAATCATATGAGAATTATGAAGCTTACTCTAATTTAAAATAATTAAAATAAATAATTACATAATAGCTCAATCAAAAGCGAGCAAGTTGGTGGGCGAGCACAGTTGGGAATTTTCCATCCTGGGTTCAAATCTCCTCAACTACAGCCTCGCATTTTTAGTGGGGCAAAGCAAGCGTGGGCACAATGCTGATAGGTGACCTGGCTAGATTTCACCGAAAGATAAATTACACACCGCCAAACACTCCCTTTAAAATAAAAGTGGTGGATGCCCCGTTCAAAAAAAATAAAGCGAGCTAGTTTTGAAGGCCTACTTAAGGGCAAATTATTATGTCCGGCCACTGGACCTATTTCTAGGTCCGGATATCCAAAAAAAACTTGCCACGTTGATTGCGCTTTGACTATGTCCTTTGATTGCGTTTTAGGTGCGCTTTAAGTGCGGTTTGATTGCGCTTTGATTGCGCTTTTTTACTGCGCTTTACCTACGCTTTTGACTATATTTTTTTTTTGAGTTAAAGCATAGTCCACGTGGTAAATTTTTAATAGATGTCTGGACTTGTTTTTAGGTCCTATGACTGAACTTTTATTTTATCCAGTGAACGTACGCTCCTCCACGTTCAGTTTAGACAAAAAAAGCGCCTATACTGAATACGGAGTTGTACCGAGTTTTTTCGGTACAGACGCTTTTTTGTCTAAACGAACGTATATGACGTAATAATTTGCCCTACTTGAGTAAAGGTGTCTAGTCGATAGACGGAATTTACTCTCTTCTAGGACGATAAAGGTGGGAAACCGGCCAACACGGCTATACCTATAATCGCGTCTTGCTGCTAATCTCTCTCTCTCACTCTCTCTCTCTCTCTCTCTTTCGGAGATTCCAAGCTTGGCGAGGAAGATCACTATTTGGATCTGTCGGAGATCGATCAAGAAGGTAAATCTTTCTTTGTTTCATAGCATTCATCTTCTCTGATGCTATTTGTAAATTTGAGGAACATTCTGCTCTGTTAGGCCTCAAGTTGGTCTATCAGGTTGTTTTTGAGATGAATGGCCCGTTTTGTGGGGATTTATTGCTAAATAATTTGAGACTCCTGTAATTTTGTTTCTTCAATTCATGTTCTTAAGTTTTATTTTACTTTTTTCATTCTTTTCTCTTGGAGTTTAAGATGATTATGGTTTATATGTTCATTGATGTCTGAAAGTGCTGGTAATTGAATAGTTTAGGGCTCTGTTGTTAGCTTTTTCTTGACTTCTTTGTTCAGCAATTTTGATTCTTTGCGGGTTTTTTTTTCTACTATACTCTGTTGGAGAAGAATTAGAACAGAAGAAAGAGAAGAAAACAAGATGAAAATTCATCATCTTGTGATCTTTCTTTGTGCATCTTTATTATTTCTAAATAGCTTTGGTAACTCCAATTATCTAGTTGTCTTAGGCTTAGTTTGTGTTGGCTTTTTTATTGCTTCTTAAAACGGCTTTTTAGTTTAAAAATTAAAATTTGTATATCAGAAAGCTGCATTAAGAAGCAGTAAGAAAGTCGTCCCAAATAAAGCCTTACCGATTTTTTAAGAAAGGGCAAGCTTGAGCTCATTAATTGGTTCTATACTTTTGTTGATTATGCTTATGTTAGGAGACTCTGAATCTCATTTAGGATGTTATTCATAAAGATTGTGAACTTATGATTTGATCCTTGCTTCAGATATACAATTATAAAAAAGAATAAAAATGCTTATACTTTTTTACAGGTCATAATAACTGGAAGAAAAAACCTTGGGAATGCTGAAAGATGTGCTTCCACGCTATGAAATCATCGCCCAAATTTCCTGAGATTCTATCTCTTTCTAAGTTGCCTCTGTTCACTCTTAGTGAAAACGTCCACCATAGTTTAGAACAGTTTCCATCCTTCAAACTGACTAACCATAGATTACAGAATATAATACCATCCATTAGTTCAGATCATTACCTTGGGGATGACGGTTGAAATCTCAGATTGTAAGATTCGGCTCCTGTGCATATAATACATCTTGTTAGTGTTAGAACATAAATCAAATCGGAATGGAAAATAAAGATTTTGTTTTAATGAAAAAGTATGAGATGGGAAGAATGCTAGGACAGGGAACATTTGCAAAAGTTTACTATGCCAAGAACATAAAAACTGCCCAAACTGTTGCTATAAAAATGATTGACAAAGAGAAAGTACTGAAGTTAGGACTTATGGATCAAATCAAACGGGAGATTTCTGTGATGAGGCTGATGAATCATCCAAATATTGTGGATCTTTATGAGGTCATGGCCACCAAGAAAAAAATTTACTTTGTGATGGAGTACATGAAAGGCGGCGAACTCTTCAACAAAGTTGCTAAGGGTAGGCTTAGGGAGGATGTTGCAAGGAAATATTTTCAACAGTTGATCACTGCAGTGGAATTTTGCCACAGCAGGGGAGTCTATCACCGAGATCTAAAACCTGAAAACTTGTTGCTTGATGAAAATGGTAATCTGAAGATTTCAGATTTTGGATTGAGTGCTCTTGTAGATTCTAAGAGACAGGATGGCTTACTTCATACGACCTGTGGAACTCCAGCTTATGTAGCTCCTGAGGTGATTGGCAGAAAAGGTTATGATGGTGCAAAAGCTGATATATGGTCATGTGGGGTGATATTCTATGTTCTTTTGGCTGGTTATCTCCCTTTCCGTGACTCGAACTTGATGGAGATGTACCGAAAGATTGCAAAGTCTGAATTTAAATGCCCCCATTGGTTTCCTCCAGAAGTTAGAAGGTTGTCATCGAAGATCTTAGACCCAAATCCAATTAGGAGAATCTCAATTGAAAAAATCATGGAGCATCCTTGGTTCAAAAAAGGTTTTGATGGAAAGCAAACAAAATCTGCGACCGATGCAGAAGACATGACACCTATTGATGTTATTAATGGTGTTACTGCAAATGATAACTATATTCAGGAGGAGGAAAAGAAGGATACGATGAAGCCAATAAATATGAATGCATTTGACATCATCTCTCTTTCGGCTGGATTTGATCTTTCAGGTTTATTTGTGGATCCTAGCCACAAAAAGGAAGCACAGTTCACTTCTTGGCTGCCTGCAACTGCCATTATCTCGAAGCTTGAGGAAGTTGCCAACTTTCTGAGGCTAAAAGTGCATAAGAAGAAGAACGGAATCATGAAAATTGAAGGATCAAAGGAAGGAAGGAAGGGCTTTCTTTCAATCGATGCTGAGATACTTGAATTCACTCCTGCGTTTCACTTGGTTCAGATGAAGAAAACCAATGGGGATACTCTCGAGTATCAGAAACTGTGGAAGGAGGATATAAGACCTGCTCTGAAAGACGTTATTTGGGGCTAGCAAGGTGAGCAAGGGCGTTTACAGCAACTGAACAGTACTTGAGGTTTATCTCCAGCCATTAATGACCTTATCATAGCTGTTTTATGCTGTCATGAAATTCTGTATTATAGTTATCTCCATGTTCTTTTATGTCAACCGAATTGTTATCTTCTTAAACTGCTAGTTACAGGCCTACTATATGATTATAAGTTAAGATTTATCTTGTACAAATGAAATATTTACTCTTTCAAAATTATAGTAGAGTTGTGGCTTGTGATTATGGAACTTCGGTTCTGAAGCCGAATTTCTAGCTTTTGAAGCTGTAACCTGTTTGTCTTATGAAGAAAAATAAGTTGGCTCCTAAAATGCGCTATTGAAAGAACTGTGGCACATTGAAGCTATGAGAGTATGTCCCTTTTGTAATACAAAACCCTATGATGCATGAAGTCTCCATGCATCCGGGCTACAATTGGCTACAACTCTTCTCAAAGCTAAAACTCCTTTCTCCATTGCTAATTTAAATAGAATCATACATGGCAAAACACCACCAAGTCATCCAATATCTCTCACGGGCAGATCCAGCCTTAATTTTTAGAGGGGCAAACTTATAAGTAAAAATGTAGAATTTTTTTTTTTTCATAAATATCCTTACAACCAAAATTTGTTCCGAGTGTGCTGCTTCTCGACGCCTATTTGTTCAGTGGTGTACGCTTCGCAGAAATGTTAAGTTGGACCCGCCCATGACCTCCCTTATGTCCAAATGAAATGATGTTGTATTATTAGTATTCTCGTTTAAAAAAAAAAACTAAAAGTAAAAGAAGACCAATTCAAAATAAAAGATCCAAGTAAAGAACAATATTGATTTGACTCATTGGATCAATATGTCAAATAAAATACAATAGTAGTTCACCTAAAATGCTCACAAATAATATGCAAATTTTAAGAACATATTGATCTGACTTTTTTTCTTTTTTTTTTGTTTTGAAACGGGGTAACGTGGTATCTATTCATTGTCACTGTCACTCTAAAGGGAGTGCTTGACGTCGTAACTAATCCCTCGTCAGAACCTAGCGAGATTACCCACCAGCATCATGCCCACACTTATTTTGCCCCATTGAGGAGGCAAGGACGTAACAGAAGGGATCAGAACCCGGAATGGAGGATTCCCAACCGTGCTCGCCTGTCAACCACCCTAAGCCTCGGCCAGTGATCTGACTCATTCATTAAACAACCAAATAATATGAGAACTATATCCCCTCAATATGTCATTTTAAAGCTTGCTTTTGTGTTGAAAAGGACTGCATTGAATTATTTCTGAAATGAACTGTTCTTAAATAAGTGGGAACCCTCATGTGGCATTGTTGCTGATGCTTCCCTATTCAATACTATATTTTGATAAATTTGCTGATTTTTTCGTGTCCTCTGAAATTTAATATAACAATTTTTTGACTTAATTTTCTGTCATAATATTTATTAAAAGATTAAAAAAAAATTGTGTCATTTTCAGTCAGAGCCGACCTCTTACGATAGCTTGCTAAGTGTCGGCCATCTGCCCAAGTAAATCTAATGAAGTGGCAACAAGCGCAACCTCCGCTTCACATTTAAGGTCTATGTGCATTGTATGTATGGAGGAGCGGCATCCGTTAGAAGCATAATTTAAAGCAGATATAAAATGCAGTTTTAGAAGCATCATTTACATTTAAAAAGCAGCTTTTTTTAGTGCTTTTTAAGTATAAAATAATGTGCGTTCAAAAATTAAAATTTTACAGCTTTGTTAAATTTTTGTCTTTAAGGTTTCATTTGGGACGGTTTTTTTCTTGCTTCTTAAAGCAATTTTTTAGTATAAAAATTAATTTTTTGTACTAGAAAACTGCTTCAAGAAGCAGTAAAAAAGCCGTCCCAAACGATACCTAAAAAGTTATTTTGAAAAAAATATTTTCTGAAACTAAGGTTTCGTTTGGGACGGGGAATTTTGTACTAAAACTCCGTTTTAGAAAACAATAAAAAAGCCGTCCCAAACAAAGCCTAAGATTTCGTTTGGGACAGCTTTCTTATTGTTTTCTAAAATAGTTTTCTAGTTCAGGAAATTTTCATACTAAAAGCAATTTTAAAAAAAACAGTAAGAAAGTTGTCTCAAGGTTATATTTGGGACAACTTTTTTATTGCTTTCTAAAACAGCTTTCCAGTACTAAAATTTTAGTTTTAAAAAAAATTTATACTAAAAAAAAAAACTTTAAGAAGCAGTTAAAAAGCTGTTCCAAATGAAATCAACTCTCTTATTATTTCTCAAAACAATTTTTTAGTACAGACTTTTAAATTAAAAATTTTTGTACTAAAAAGCTGGTTAAGAAAATAATAAGAAAGCTTTCACAAATGAATATTACTTTCTAAAGTAGCTTTTTAGTATCAAAATTTTTTGAATTAAAATTTTTTTAATAGAAATTTACTTTAGAAAGCAGTAAGAAAATCATCCCAAACCAAACATTAAAATTCAATTTTAATTCAAAAAAATTTTATTACCATTTAGATTTTCTTATATTATTTTAATATTTAAATTTTACTTTTTATATATATAATTAAACTCAAATTTTCATAATGTAATATCTTGCTTGGTAATAAGTGCCCCAAATAGGGAATCTGACTTGAATTTTAATTTATATAAATGCGAATTTTCATGTTTTCCTGTTGAAAATAAAGAACGGAGAATGATATGATATTTTAGCAGAAACTTTGGTGGTGTGGATCTTATATTTCGTCAGAATTGTGAAGAGAAAGCTCATTTAGTTGTTGGAGCAGAAGATATTGATCATAAATTTAGAGTTTTCACTTTGCTGAACCAAATGAGATGCATAGGATCTTATTATTTAAGCATCCTATGTTGTTTTATAAGAAATGAAACTTCTACAAGAGGAATTACTAAGAAGAATTTTTTTTAAAAATTTTAAAAGAAGAAAATACAACTTCTATTACATCACTGTAATAATGTACTATTTGGTATTTGCAAAAGAACCAACAAATCATCTACCAGATCTTGACATGTGTCACAAACAATCCTTATTGGGTTTAATTCGTTGTGGTACTTTTATCCAAGGGCGGAACCATTTAGGTTCCAGGGGGGGCAGTTGCCTGCCCCCCCCTCAAATTTTTTTTTAAATTTTTTTATATGATTTTTTAGGTAATTTATCCTTTTTATTCATTTTTTAGTCTTTATTATAAGGGTTTTCATGCAATTGTCCCCCCCTAAAAATTTTAAAATACTATGGTCTTTAGATAATTGCCCCCAACAGGTCGAACCCCGCCAGAAGACACTGCCCCCTTGAATCCCCGACATATATGTCTTATAAGTTTTCCCCCCCTAAAAATTAGGGCTGGTTCCGCCCCTGATTTTATCTATTTTAGTGTAATCTATCTTATAGACTTTAAATCCCTATAAATAAAGGGTTAATAGGCAAAATTGGGATCTTTCGAAGCATCAAGGAGCTAGTAAAGCATTTCCCCATAGATTTGCTTAACATTTTTTTTATAATATCTTCTTCTCTTTCTTCATACTTATCCCTTGCTCTTAGGTTCCTATTTCTCGAGATTGCTTGCTTGTAGGGCCAGGTATTATTTAGTTACAAATTTATATCAAATTCCCTCAAAGGTTCAGCAAGCATATATTGATGCTAGTTAAACCTCGAGCCATTAGTGAATATTAGTTTAATAACCCAAAATTTTAAAATGAATTTGTTTGAAAATCTAATATAACAAGTAGTGCTACGTCATTAGGATGGCAAGCGATGTAGCATTGGGATGGAAAATGTAGTGGTGCTTAGAGCCTAGGGGCGTCGGGAAAGTATCGTCGCAACATTGAGCTCTCTATTCTATAGTACTATGGGGGCGACATACAACGTGCCAATGATGGATCATACTGATGCAGTGCAAGGCATCCACCACTCCTCCCCTCATTCATTTGTCTTGTCGAGGAAGGAAAGAAAGGAGGAGAAGAGAAGAAGGGAGAGAAAATAGGAGAGAGAAAGTGCTTCAAGGTGTTTTTTCATGTCGCTTATGTTATGGATTTTATTCTAATTGATATAAGTGACTAAACTTTTACTCATATTTTCAATTATTTTTATTTCTACGATTCTTATCACTTCTGAATCTATCAAAAATATAATTTCTCATGATTTATCTAACTTTCACTATGTAACTTTTTTGTATATGATATGAATGATAGAAATAATTATTATGAGTATTTTGACATTAATATCATTAAATTTTACATGGTAGATTGATAGTTACAATCTTTTTTGATGTAAATACACAGTGTATAGATTTTATTGTATTTCATATAAATTAGGTATTTCATACATGATATTGACTTACACTAAATAAATAAAATGATATGAATAATATAAGATAAATAGGAATTACATGTAAGCAAGGAATTGTCAACACTATAATTAATATGGGTTGGATCTTAAGACATTAATACCCAATACAAGAGGGTGATTTGATGGGCTTTCCTTTAAATAAAAGATTTATATTATAATCTTTCAATTGATTGAATTATACTAACAGATAAAGGATGACAACTCTTAATGATTTATTGAAATTCACTAATAAATTGATTTAAGATTTATTAATAATGATGGTAAGATAAAAATTAATGACCAACTAGTCGACAATTGGGGTGAAGATGTTGAAAATACCATATTAAAGTTAGATGTCATGCCTCATTATTTATAATTGCATTCATAATTATATACATGATAACATATGAATTGATTGATAGATAGAATTTATATATGATTGATCAAATTTATATTGAGACTGATATGTCATGATATAGCATATGGCATACATACTTATAGACATTAATAGTCATATTGATATAGTACACTAATATGACATACTAGTTGACAAATACATATGGCATAGCTAAGAGATAATTAAAACTTATTTTACTGTACAATATCTCTTATTGATTGATGGCTTTTTATCAATTTTTTTAATAGATTGATAGACTTCTTTTGCTTAATGAATAATCAAACTTTATTGGTCTTGTTGATTTTATTATTGATTGATATTGATTTCATATATTATTTACTGTTCTTACTAATATCTTATTAACTGATATTGATTGGAACTAGAGCAGACATATTGATTATTTTATCTTGCATTGAATATAATAGTAAGTTTTAGTTACTTGATGGGATATGTACTCATTATTTAGTTTTTACCTATCAACAAGTGATAGTTTAAGTTATATTTCTCACTGTTTTATTTTATATGTTATTTTATAG